ATACGGACAAGCCGTAGCCCCAAGGCCAGATAAACAATACGCCAGTTCTCAAATAAAAAGTTAGTGAAAAATCAGAAATAAGATAAGGGAAATTAAATTTAATACTTTTCCGCTTAAGTAAATTTTCTAAGGCCCGCCACGATATATGAACCTGTTTATAAGATGATTTAAAAAAAAAAAAAAAAGAGAGAGCGTAGACACAAGAGACAGAAAAATCAATACGGACAAGCCGTAGCCCCAAGGCCAGATAAACAATACGCCAGTTCTCAAATAAAAGTTAGTGAAAACCAGAACTAATATAAGGAAAATTAAATTTAATACTTTTCTGCTTAAGTAAATTGTCTAAGGCTCGCCATGATACCTGAACCTGTTCTAAACGATGAGCCAAGTTTTTGTTTTGGCTTTTATATCCTTCTAAATTCTTATTGGAAGTCTCTAACTTATTTCGAACAGTATTATATTTTTCATACCATTTATTTAACTCTGAAGGAAGACCGGAAAGTCTTTCCAAATCCTCAACTAAAAACTGAATTTCATTTCCTGACTCAACAATTAAAGAAACGGCAGTAGACAATTGTTTTCTAAGTTTTTGAGCTTCATCCTTTTGGTCTGCAACTTCAGATTCTAAGTTTCGAATATGCTCTCTTTGTCTTTGGGCAAGTTTTGTTGAGGCACCACAAAAAAATCTTCGTCGATGAATACGGCCCATTATAAAAAAAAAATCGTGAGAAAAAAAACGTGAGAAAAAATGAATACGGCCCATTATAAAAAAAAAATTCGTGAGAAAAAACGTGAGAAAAAAAAACGTGAGAAAATCAAAACACCAATAGAAATTGCATAAAATATGTTGCATGAATTTCCTTTTAATATATATATATATATATAATCACGTGATACGGATTTGTACGCTTCGGACTTAATTACATACGCCGGACATGTCGCATGTCGATCATAGCAAATGACATTTATTTAGATGTCGATCATTTGATCGACAAAATTTTATATGCTTTTTTCGCACTTTTTTGACTTTGCGTATAAGCCAACTGTGTGACATTACTAACGTTTTTGTTCGCTCACTTCTCAAAAACATTTTTGTAAGTTCTAAAAGTTAAACGGTTCGGTTGTCTATTATATGCCGGTTTTAATATGTGAAAGTAGTATAAACAATTTTAAAATGAAAAATATGTTGTATTAACGAGAGGTATTTAATTTTAATGATATTTTTTGATTTTAAAAACTTTTTTTATTAATTAAAAAAAAAATAATACTAAATGAAAAATTTTTTTTTTTTTACATATATTTTATATTTTATTAGAATAGAATATTAATATAGAAATATTAAATTTTTTTCAATATCTCCTATAATATATAATTTTAAATTAGTTAAATATATCTTATTATTTAATAATTGTTCTTAAACTTCTATATATTTTTTATTGTTTTTTTAATAACATTGTCTATTTAGCTAAAATGGAGTCATTCAAGGAAAGATAAATTACTTACTTTAATAAGGTTATTATTTCCGCCAAATTGTATTTAAATTCAAAGCATTTATTAAGAGCTTGTCACCATAAAATTTATTATTTTTAAAAATTTTTTTTTTTATTTAAAAAATCGATTTTTTGTATATTACATAAAATCCAACTGAAAAACACACTTTGCAACTTAAGAGAATCTTCTTCCTCACATAAAATTACATATATTTTTGTTGTTAAAGTTGTAAATTTGTATCCACTTGTAAGAAGATCTTTAAAAACTTATTTTAAAGTGAAATTTTGCATAAATGTAAAAAAAAAAAGTTAATTGTCTAAAAGGAAAATCAATGGTTAAAATTGATTGAGTGGTAATTGTAACATATTGTGATAGTTAACTATAGAGTAAAGAGCATAGCGAACTTAAACCTGATTGGTTGATTTTCAAAATGATTGTCACATATTAAATTCATATAAAAAAATGATCATCTAACTTTAAATGGATTCGCAGCTACAGGAGGAATTCGTTAAGGTTATAATAAAAAATTGTCTAAAGTATATATCTTGATTTATTGCATAATAAAATAATTTGAGAAGAAGTTTGGTAATTCAGAAGTTAGCTAATAAGAGTTTTTTTCTATTTTATTATAATAGACGATTTTATTAAAAAAATACATGCAAAATATCTATACAGAAAGTTCATAAAGAAATAACTATCACAAATGAAAAAAAGGGAAAAAGAAAGGCTCAATATTGTGATTTAAAGGGTCAGGATGATGTTGCCTGCGATTATGAAAAGCATGGAGCATCTATTATATCTGAGCAAGTAACAATACCAAGTTCAAGTCAACATCTGAACTTGGTTAGCAAGGCTTTATGCTGAAAGCACTATAATAAATTGATAGTAAATGTAAAAAAGCCAAAACCTAACCTATGTTCTCATCCAAAATACAATTTATATACAGTGCTTAGCAAGAAGTCACCAGTTACGTGATTGTTGATTATTATTTGTTTATCTTTAAAATCTGTTATCTCAGCCATTTTCTTATTAATACATCTCTAATTTTTTGCCACGTATTACTAAAATCTTTCTTATTTAAACATGGCTTTTAAAAGAAAAGAACTTTTCATTTTTGAACATGGTGAAGTCATTGGTACTTGGAAATGTGAAATAAGCGAAAGAAAGATTGGCGAAGCTTTAAACCATCCCTAAAGTACTATTCATGATGTTATTTCTGCTTATAAAATTGTGGAGACGAAACACTTGCTCCTAGAACTGGTAGACCGCCTATAATAACTGAAAGAGATGATCATCATTTGATGAGAATTCTTAAAGAAAATAGAAAAATGAATCTTCAGGAATTACATGAAGAATTTATCAATTCCACTTCAACAAAAGTTAGTAAGAAAACTTTAAGCACTTACCTTCATGAACAAGGTTTCTATGGTCGAATTGGTGTAAGAAAACCTTTCATAAGTGAAAAAAATAAACAAAAAAGACTTGCCTGGGCTAAAGAAAGAAAAGAGTGGATAAATGAATAGGAAAGTATCATTTGGAGTGATGAATCCAAGTTTGAAATATTTGGAGGAAATGGTAGAAGGTAAGTTTGGAGGCAGCTTCATAAAAAGTATAATGTAGAGTGTTTAATTCCTACAGTAAAGTCGGATCAACAAGGAGTAATGGTGTGGGAATGTTTTGTAAAACATAATCTTAGTCCATTAGTAAAATTAGAAGGGAGGGTAACAGCTACGGTATATAAGAAAGTGTTAAAAAATAATTTAATTATATTTTTAAAGGGTTTAGATAATCAGGATAATTATTTTTTTCAAGAGGATAACGCTCCCATACACATTGCAAATATTATTAAAAGATGGAAAGTGAAACATAAAGTGAATAATATTCCCTGACCTGTACAGAGTTCAGATCTTAATCTGATAGAAAATTTATGGGATGAATTAGAAAGGCAGGTGCGGGCACACACTTCATTACCAAAAAATAGGGAAGATTTATGGGAAATATTTCAAGAGGAGTGATCAAATCTTGATATTAATAAATATCAAAATCTTGTTGATAGCATGTCTCATTAAGTTGCTGCTGTTATAAAAAGTAAAGGTCATCTAACAAAGTATTAATAAATAGCTGAAGTTTTTTATTATGCAAATAAAAAAAATTTTATTAAATTTGGTGTGGCAATGATCGAATAATTTGAATTTAAAAATTTGCATTAAAATTGATCAATGTCATGTGACCGGTGATTTGTTGCCAGGCACTGTATATCTACAGTCAGAAACAGTAAAGAGGAGAAGAAATTAAAGAAGGCACTAGAACGATTAATTAAATTTTTTGATCTTCTATCAGAGGCAAATATGTGTCACCACTGTTTATATAGAACTGATAAGGATCCAGAATATCAAAATATATCCAATTATTTACTAGTAAATGAGAGGATTACGAAAGAGAATTTAAGACAATTTAAGGGTTGGTCATATATTTTGTGTAGCGATATTATTTATTCTGAAACCAAATTTCAGGAACTGAAAGCTGAATATAATGATGTATGTTCAGAACTTAATGAAATAAAGTTAGGTAAGTAACTAAATACATTTTGTATGTAATTATTTCTAGACTGCTTCTTATATAATTAATATATTTTAGAATTAATTCCTCTTAGCAAAAAGATTAAACTAATGGCAGAGACGTTATATATAAGATAACGTGTGTTAAAGCTCTGAACAGTTCAGATTAATCTGAAGATTTTTCAGATCAAATCAGTTCAGATTGGTTTCAGATTGCATAAAAATCAATCTAAAAATTTTCAGTTTAGTTCAAATTTTTTTCAGATTATAATTCTAATCTGAACTGAAAAAAATCTGAACTGAACTGATAATTTTAGATTAATCTAAAAGGTCAGTTCAATTATATGTAAAACTCTTAAAGGATTGCAAAATTTGCAAATTTTTTAAGAGAATCGCAAAAATTTAGTGAAACTCTTAGAGAATCACAATTTTTTGTAGTTTTTTTTCGAATTTCGCAAAAAAATTGCGAAAACCTTAAAGAATTGCAATTTCTCTTAGAATTTCGCAAAATTATTGCGAAACTCTTGGAGAGTCACAAAAAATTGTGATTTTCTTTTCGAATTTTACAAAAAAATTGTAAAATCCTTAGAGAATCGCAATTTTTGCGATTTTTCTTAATATTTTGCAAAAAATATTGTGAAATTTTTAGATAGTTGCAAAAAATTATGATTTCTCTTTAAATTTTGCAAACCTCGAAGAGAAATTAGCGATTTTTTGTGATTTTCCTAAAGTTTCGCATATAAATTGTGAATTTCTTATATAATCAAACTGTAATTTCAGATTAATCTGAAAATTTCAGTTCAGTTCAGATTTTTACCAGTCTGCGGTTCAGTTCAGATTTAGATTGGCATTTTTAAGATTAATAATCTGAACTGAATTGAACTGAAATTTTCAGTTCAGATATGAATTAGCATCTAATCTGGACTGAATTGAACTATTCAAAGCTTTAAAATATGTATAACGAATGACCTATTCTAGATCTGAATGAATTCAAGTAAATGCTTAAGAAGGCTGAATCGTCATTGAAGGGATTTTTTGATCAGTTAGTAGTCAGAACAAATTCACAAACTAAAAATAATATAACTAACAAAAAAAATAGAAGAGACTGGTTTCTTTTTGCTATTTTTTAGCGGAACTCAATAATAAGTTTATTAATGAGATTAAAGCAGAGATTGGGTCTATGTTAGACGCATCTGAAACATCTTCATCAGCAATAGAGACATTAGCTGATGCGGGTTTGATGGTAAGACAAATGACAATTGCAAGACAAAACGCACAGCATTTAGAAGCACATACAATAACAGTAGAAAGGTTTTTAATAGATAATATATGTATAAAAATATTTATTTATATGAGTGTTATATTCATAATTAATCTAATTAAATTAACTAATTATCTTTTAAACAGAATGAAAACTTGATTGTTCTTAATGTGGATGATTTTCACAATATTCATGAGTACTGTCACAGTAACATAACAACTATGTATGATGTTTAACATTTCATTACGATACTCTTAAAAGTTTTGCTAGAAATAGCATCTATCCCATTTTATAATCCTAATCAAAAAAAGAGTATTCACAATGAAAAGGCATTGATGCAACCATTATTATACAAAATGCTCATACATTTTTTTTTCTATGGCTTAGTTACACAAGATGAAAGTGAACGTTGCTAATTTAATGTCTATATTGGAAATTTATAATAAAAGAATTGAGCGTCTTTTGGTTCATAGTTATAATGATAGGATTTAACAACGTCATATCAATCAAAATATGAAAAATACGAAACTGGTTAATCTAAAAAAAGGTTCACTACATTCAACTAAAGATTTTGTAAATGCAATTAAACATCTGTTAAATATTTCTGAAGTAAAAACTTATATAAAAACACAAATATTAGTGACGCCTATGGATTATTCTGGATAACTAAATGTACGTCATGCTATTACCTATCATATTAAAGTTAGAGATCCTTCTGGAATATCAGTATAAGTTCTATATATTGTTTTAATAATCAGACCTTTACATATATCTTTAAATAGTCGTAAAATTTTGTTTCTTTTAAATTATCAATTTTTTGACAAGTTTTTTCATACAATATTTGGATATCAAAAGGTATTGGCGAAAAAGCTAAAAACTTACAAAATTAATCTACTTTTAGAATTAGTATTTCAAAGTTAGATGCGAATGCATTCAATAATTCTACAAAAATTTGAGCAGTTTAAGAATCCAGAAGTCAGATATTTTATCAATTTGCTGAATAATATTGTATCATTAGTTTTAGATTTTTATCCTATTATATTTTATAGTGAAAATTGGTTAGCATATAAAGAAGCCATGTTCTGTGTGTGAGTTATTTTTTATCAATATCAGCGTAGATATTATAATAAGTTACCATTAGCATTTTTAAGTGATGTTTTTTTATTGAAACAATACTAATCATCCTATTTCACAAGTTCTTTAGGATTCTCTTTACATTTTAATGATTACTATGTAGAAAATTTTCACAGTTCTCTCTATTAATAAATATAAAAATCAAACACTGTGAAACAGATTATTCAACAAGCGTGAATAATTAATTAAATGCATTGTGACAACTCTTTTACTAATATGTTTTCTGAAGATCATAATATTAGATATTCAGCAAAACAGTTAGAATATCTTTAAAAAAGCAGTGCTCTTTTTTTTATTAAATTTATTTACAGATATATATCATAATCTTAACAAATCCAAGGCTATTTCTTCTAAATTATATGAACTTATAACATTAGATACTAAAATTGATGTTAAGATTTTGCCAATGGCTTGGAATACAGCATATTCTTCTTAAAAAGATAGATATTGTGATTTGAAAGATTGTGAAAATTCATGTGAAGTAGGTTGTATTTTAATTTGTGATCATTGTTATTATTTTGAATGTTTTTTATTTAAATTAGATAGTAAATGTCAATATTGTGCTGATTATCTTATAAGCAGAATTGAAAATAATTGTAAAGCCTTTCAAAAAACTTTGGATTCTTTAGTGGGATAGTTACAGATGAGAATATAAATGAATTGGATATTATTGAACCTAATGATAATACTAATATTGGAATTGAAGATTTTTCTTTAGATAATAATATAGATTCTCTTTTTGAAAGAGCTGTAAATGCTTTGACAAATGCATAATTAAAGAAAATGTTATTATATATCATATGAAGTGTAGCTGAAAAACATTAATAAAATATAAATAATACAATAATTTAATAATATTTTTATAAATGGATAAAAAAAATTAATTCTTTTTATTAATTAACACTTTTTTCGATTTAATAATTAATGAATCATGTGACTTTATCAGCCAATAGAATTTTAGCATAATAAAAAATGATCTGCGAAAATTGACCAATCATAATGAAAGTTCGCTATGCTAGAGTAAAGTAACTCAATTATAGTTACACAAATTTTTTTAATATGAAAATGATCTGTCCGGCGCTTATAGAAATAATGATTTTTTGCAGAAATTTTTTTTTTTGATTAATCACGTGATCGAACACTTAGTAATTTTGATTTACTGCGGTAACACGAATTTCTTAATAAATACCTCGAAAATTTTTTTTTTTAAATACTGTACTTTACAAAAAAATAAATCATGTTCGTTCCCCGAGCTGTAAAAAGAACCGGACCAGTTTCAAAGATACATAATAAAAAACCAAAGACGATAATTTATGATTCAGAAATTTCTAAAGAATCGACTGCTGAAAATTTGGACCTCGTTGTTCAAGATAAGCAAAAGAATGTAACTCAAACTGAAAGCATAAATCTCGATGAAAAGGACGAGACAACAAGTGTAAAACAGATAAGAGAGATAACACAACTTACGGATCAGCAAATATCGTTAGAGGTTGAACATATGATAGTTGAACCTAATACAGTTGATCAACAAGAACTTGATAAATATTCTCCGAGAATTATAGTGAACGGACAAGTTCCAAATTCACAAGATCAAGAAATTGTAGTAATCGATGAACACGAGGAAGCAGTAAAAGAGTATAGTAACCAACAACGTACAGCTGTTGCCGGGGAACCAATTTGTGTAATATGCGGAAAATATGGCGAATATATTTGTGATGAGACGGATCATGATGTTTGTAGCTTGGAATGCAAGAAAGTGGATATTGAACGTGTCAAAAATGGGGGAAAAATTCAACGATTCTCTTTAAAAGAGACTCAAACGAAAATTGAAGTAGAAACACCAATATCAGGGTTATTTCATGTACAACTTACAGGCTATACATTACCTACAGATATTAGTTCTTTAACAGGAGTTCAAATACAAAATATTTTGAAAAGGAATAAAATTAATGTCCAAGGAAAAAATATTCCTCCTCCTATACTAAGTTTTTCACAATGTAAATTACCGACAAGAATGATGGAAAATCTACAAACAGAAGGGTATACACAACCAACGTCAATTCAAATGCAAATCGTTCCGACAGCGTTAATCGGACGTGATATATTAGCAAGTGGACAAACGGGAACAGGAAAAACCGCAAGCTTTTTAATTCCAATAATTTCGCATTGTTGGTCATTGTCACAATGTTATGAAGGGAAAAATGGACCTTATGCAATTATATTGGCGCCAACAAGAGAACTTTGTTCACAAATTGAGAATCTGACAAAAGGATTAATAAGAGGGTTAACGAATATGAAAACATCACTTTTGGTTGGGGGATTACCCATCCCAAATCAAGTTCATCGATTAAAACAAGGAACTCAAATCGCCATTGCAACACCAGGAAGACTTATAGATATTTTAAATCAATCTAACGAAGAATTATCAATGAACAATATTCATATGTTTGTATTGGATGAAGTTGACATGATGTTCAAAATGGGATTTGAAAAGCAAGTTAGAGAGATTATAGATAAGTTACCTTTACCAATTACAAGCGCACGACGACAAACTTTAATGATTTCAGCTACTTTCCCGAAAATTATTGAAAAACTCGCCAATTCTTTACTTAAGGATCATATTAGAATCATTGTCGGTGCTCAGCTAGACAATAACAAAGATCCGGAAAACTCCCGATTGAATTTTATACCATGTATTCCTGTTAAACAAACTATTCTTTGGATAGAAAATAAATCTAAAAAGAAACAATTATTTTCAATTTTAAATGATCCAAAGTACTATAATCCACCGATAGTAATATTTGTAGAATCTAAGATGGGAGCAGATTTATTATCACAAGCAATTGAAAAGAAATGTAATGTGAGAAGTGTAAGTATGCATGGAGATAAATCACAGGGAGAAAGAATGATGATTTTACAATCATTTCTTAATGGAGACTATGATGTCATAGTATCAACAGGAGTGCTAAGTAGAGGATTAAATTTACCTGATGTTGAAATGGTAATAAATTTTGATATGGCAGTTTCTGTTGATGAGTATGTACATCAGGTTGGAAGAGCTTCAGGAAGTGGAAATTCTGGAAATTCTTCCGGATGGGCCATCACATTCATTAATGAGGTAAAATTTAAAACTTTTGTTAATTAGGTAGGAAAATCAATCATAATTTCAAAATTTCAAAATTTTCTTTTCTTTAAGGATCACAAGCATCTGTTTAAGGAATTTGTTCAGGTGCTGAATGCACAGCCATCTGGGAAAGTAACACCGTTACCATCAAAGTTATTGGTGCATGGATGTACATTATATGGAAATAACAGATCATCATCTAATAAAAAATGAAGATATCCTTTTTTTTATATTTGTAATTAAAGTACATCATTATAGACTTATGTTGTCCGTGTCATCATTTATCCTTATAATATTATTTTTCTTTTAGCCAAAATATTTTCACATACACACATAATTGTGTATATATGTATATATATTAATGATTTATTGCCATTTAAAATGAGAGAAAAAAAATAAATAATTGAAAAAATCGAACGACCTAAATAATATCTATTGTTAATCTTGAATTGGATCAATAAGTATATCTTTCCTACCACCACCGGCAACTAGTTTAACCTTGGTATGTAGATCAAAAGGGTTACCATCGTAAGCAACAAAATTAGCAATATTCCCCTTATTCAAGCCTTGATTGTTTAATTTCTTTCTATTTAAATTGAAAATTTCTTCTAAATTCCAAGAAATTAAAGCTACAGCGTCTTTTTCGTCTAAAAGACCTTTTGAATTAGTAACAGCCCAACCAGCATCCCAAACTAAATTTCTTGTCCAAGCAGAATTATAAACACCAATAGCAACTTTAACTTTATGTTTTACAAGTATTTCTATACCAGTAGTGTTTGTGATGGGAGAACCTGTTAAAACGTTTTTAGCGGTCCATAAACGAGGCACAGGCCTTGAAGGTGATAATACGACCGAAACATTATTTTTTGATATTTGGTCGGCAATCAAATGAGCTTCCGCTCCTCCTATTATAACTAATCGTAAATCACCTCCATGACGTTTAACAAGTTGTTTAAGTCTGATGAGTGATGCAATTTCGTCTTTAGAATCAGTATGAGCCGCTAATGGAACCAACCCATTTGCCACTTTGCTATATATATTTCTTTTGGTTGGTTTAAATACAGCCTTTAATAATGTTCTTCGCAACAATCCAATCTGACTTGATACCGATGGTATATATGCTAAAGAGGAAGCAAAGTGATCGGTTAAAAAAAAGTTCGAACAAAAGTATAATTTAAGATGATCAATAGCTCACCATTTTTAAACAGAGTACCGATTTGTACGTGAAGAGCAGTTTCTGATTCAATTATTGATTCTTCATCAAGAACGGTATGAGAACCAGTTTTAAAAGCGACAGAAATACCTTTGATTAAACCAAATGATAATGGGGATGTGATTGAACTAAGTACACCGGCTTTATAAGCAGCATCTAAATGTTTCCCACCAAATTTTAATCCATCTATAGCTTTCATTACTTGATCTACACTATCTGGATGATTTATAATTGGCACAAATCCATCCGTTGTTGATGGTTCTAGATCAATCTCAATTAAACCTAATGATGCCCCGATAGCGACTATACCTGGTAGTACATATCCTCCATTTAAATCAATCATTTCGGAGGAATTATGATTTGAAATGGCACAATTGCCAATACATTCTACCAACCCATCTTTAATTATCATACTAATATTTTCGTCTTTAACCGATGAATTATTATTAGGTTCAAGAATTGTATCTTTATCCACAAAGATTTTTCCAATATTATTTATAACGACCGAAGATGCGGTTCTTTCATTTCCCTTCTCCTTGACAGGTTCATTTTGAGCGGATGACCCTTTAGAGCATTTGGATTTTCCAGAAAGGACAGAATTGGGGGTACCAAATTGAGGAATTCCATCAATATAAACTTCTAATGGAGTAGCACCTAAACTAAGCGGATGAGAATCCCAAACAACAAGGTCAGCATCGTAACCGATTGAAATTTGTCCGATACGATGATTTAACCCGAGTGCCTTTGCTGGTACGGAAGTGATTGATGCTATAGATAATTTCTCATCAAGTCCATAATGATGCGCTTTGGCTGCTTCAAATGCTAAATGTTGTGCGTTTATTGCCGGATGATCCGACTTTAAAGCTACTGGTATGCCAGCATCTGCCAATATTTTTGGAGATCTCGTACTTGCTTGAAATGCTTCTTTTTTATACCCCCAATTGTCCGAGAACGTTGCTATAGTAATTTGAGAATTTGCCCTTTTGATTATATCCGGGATACGATATGCATCTAATGCATGATGTAATGCCGTAATTGTAAAATTAAATTCTAATGAATGATTTATTATGGCTTCCAAATCATTTGTCTAAAAAAAAAAAAAAAGGAGGGAGGAACCTTAATAATAATATAATTATTATTATTATTATAAAATAAATATATATATATATATAATAAAAATTTTGAATTTACCTCATAACAGTGAATATTTAATTTTGCGTCGCCTCTAAATAAAGCCATTAAACTATCATATTGTAAATCTTCAGGAAAAGGACTATCTAACTGTACGTTATTATTAGAAGATAATTTACTGGCCGAATCACACCAATCATTTTGCCTTTTAAAATGATCTCTGGCTTCTTGAAATTTCTTCCTAAATAACCAACCTTCACCTAGACGAGTTGTTGGTATCCGATCTTGAAGCCTATAAACTTCTTTTGGATTTTCACCACATGCCATCTTTAACCATCTCCATTCCTTTTCCTCTGATGGATCTATACCATAATTTATTCCCATATCAACTACAGATAATGTTGAAACATTTCGCATCTTTATTACATGTCCTTCTCCTCCCATCAAATTTCCGCTACCTGGTATTATTAATGATGTGGTTACTCCACCTGATGATATTATTCTAATCGCTATAAAACATGTAAAACAATAAATCTATTAATTTAAAGAATAAAAAATAAAATAAAATAAAATTATTATTATTATTATTATTTTTATTTTTATTATTTTTTGGACAACCAACCAGGATCACTTGGATTTAACGCATCTTTAACTCGTACCTAAAAAAAAAAAAATGATGAAATGATGAACAAATATATATGTATATATATATAGGTATATAATCTTAAAAGAAGTGTATAATTATACTAACAAATGGTGTAAGAGGATCCGTTTCTTCATTAACATCGTTAGTGGCTCTTAAAAATGGCCATGAAAGAAGTCCTGCATGGCTAAAACATAATATATATATATATATACATATATACGTTAATTATCTTTAAAATCATCTTCAATTTTATTAAGTTTTTAATGTTTATTCTAAAAATACCTATGCATATCGATTAATCCGGGGGTAACAAATTTTTTCTTTAAATCAATCATAACGGTGTCATCAGTTACGTTAATATCATTCTTTTTAATGTCATTTTCATCAATATTAGTAATCTCGCTAATAATACCATTCTTTAACAATATATCACCAAGAAAATCATGTCCAATACCATCCAATATTCTGGCATTTTTGAATAAAATATCTTTAGTGCCAGGGACAAATCTAGGATTTCTCCTCCTATCTTGGATTTGATTATTATCAGGTTTAATCCTTTTTATCTCTTCACATTTTAATAAACCATAATGATATGTTTCATAAGATATACCACTCGAGTATTGCGTGATTTTATTTGAAGCGTTTGTATATCGAATTATATATGCAATGTATAATGAACTCGAAATTACTAACGCTAAAAAAAGGTTTAAATACTTTTTTATTCTTTTATCACGTTGATGATTGTCAAAGGATTGAATATGATCATCAATCTTTGTCATTTTTTTTTTACTCGCCATGACATGAGAATTTTTTTTTTTTTTGTTGATAAAAATTTACTACTTATTTATAATGATCATGTTGATGATCCATCTTGATTATTTTATCACAAATCTTTAACGAGATATCACGTTTTTCCATGTGTTGTGTAATGTTTATGTGTAATGTTATCACAACCTTTTAGTTTGTTTAGTTCATATGCATGATTTTCTTCATGATTGTGATGTTATTTAGTTCTTTAACCAATCTATTCAAGTTCTTTTATTTTCTTTTTTATCAACTCATTTGTAAATTCTATTATTATTACCCTTTATTTTCAACACTAAATGTCCAATAAAAATTCTTAATCGGATTGTCAATTATTTTTGCCATAAATAATAATAATAAAAAAAAAAAAAAAAACGGGTATACACAATATATTAAAATTTTTGGGGTGAGAGAAATCCCCTGATATATTAATTAGCTATTCTTCATTTCATTTTTTTTTTAAATTTAAAAATAAAAAATAAAAAAGGATTGCTTTTTCTTTTTTTTTTTTAAAAAAAAAAGACAAATAGATATATTAAAAAAAATCATGTGCTGTATGAAAAACTTGTTTAAATTTTTTTAAAATTAAAAATTCAGTTTGAATCATTCTTCGAGAACCATTTTATTACTTGATTTCCTCGATTTTTCTCTGATCTTTTCACCAGAAGCTTGGACTTTCATTGAATCCGTGATTATTACTTGCTGATCAAATTTTGCACCAAGATCCATTAGAAATAGATCAATTATCTTATTATATCCAATAATCAATCCCATGACTTTATATAAAGCTTTATGAACCCTAGCCTTTTCGGTGATGGTCACCCTTGTAGAGTTTTCGCCTGTCGATTCAAGTTCAATGGTCCAACTACCACTGAAATGAACTCCTCCTTCACGTACAATCTAATCATAAAAAAAAAAGAGAGATAAATATTATCTTATAAAATTGATACCTTTCTAATAAAAAAGAATACCTCTCTTTTTAATAATTTGCCTTCCAAACGTTCTATTACGCGGAATTTCATGTTCATGTCGCCGCGTGGTGAGAATTCCCTAAACCACTCAAATCCGTCAGGTGGGATATGTCCCGGTGGGTTGGTTTCAACTCTTGTTATATTGGACCTCCATCGTGGGTAAGCTCCAAACTCCACTATAGCATTCCAAAGTTTACTGTTTGGTTGAGCATATTCTGCAGTTCGGCTGCACACGTGGTCTTTGGGTATTAAGAAATTACCTATCATTACAAGGACAGGTACTACAACAAGCAACAAGAGAGTATGTATTACTGAGGAAGGAGATAAGGAAGACAAGAGAGTAGAAAGACGGTGTGAAATGAAGTCTAAAGTGGATGGAAGATCTGACATTGGAAACATTTTATTACGTGTAAACTATAAGAAAAAAATGTAAAAATGACGCGCGATAATATATTGGTCTATTTTTTTTAAAAGGATTTTTTGTTAATTGATAAACACTGAGAAAAGAAAAGAGTATTTAGGAGAAAGTTTGTAGTTGTCAAGAAAAATCTTGAACTTAGGGGTTAAAAAAAAAAATAAAAAAAAAGAGAAAATGTGAACCTATATTTCAATGTCAATACGTCAATAAAAGACTCATCTCATTCAAGCTGCATCTGTCATTCATGGGAACTTCTATGCATGAAATTATGGTTACGCGGTCAGTAGTTTCCGATTGTGGAATTTGAAACTTTATTTCAAGTTTTGCTTATCACGTGATACATAATTGAAAAGAGGTGATAATGGATAAGAAAGTAGCATTACACTACGAGTATTGTATTCCTCATGACAAAAAAAAAAAAAAAAATTCATTTCAAATATAATAAATACAATCAAATAAGATATTCATTTTCATAATGCATATATATATCATTTACTTTAATTTACATTTACAACTTCGTCTTTTTTTCAAAGATTCTGGGAGATATAGTATTTGCAATACTTGCGAAAAATAATCTTAATTTGATGAAAGGTAATCATTGGATCTTCCAGAAGGTTGATCGCTTTCGTCAATAAAATAAATCTAGATCCGAGCTCCTTTTCAATCCCAGAAGTGTTCACCTTAAACTAATACGTTCTTTTTGCAGATATTAGTAAGCAACATGAATGTTGATTATACAAAATATATTGAAAAAGAACGAAAGGTTTTAGTTGATCTTCACGCGCTTTAAAAAATCTAAATCTTCAGTGTTCGTCTTCAAGACATGTACGTGAGGGGTTTTTTTTTTCAAGATAAGTTTTTCTTGCGAATGAGCGACAATTAAATGAATGAATGTAAGAGAATGAAAATAGGAAATGTAAAGAATGTAAACGTAATGAATGAATGAATTGAATTGAGTTGAATTGAATGAATGAATTGTAATCGAACGGAGTGATGGATGATGATCGAACGAACGCAATGTAAAACATTAAAAGCGAATAAGCGTAATGTAAAATGTATAAAAGAATGCCATTGTTACAAAATCCTTTGAGAAAAAAAGGTAAAACAAGGCCCGTAAAAAAATTAACTTCCGAAGTATAAACACGAAAAAATTATCATGTCGCATTTACCTTCAAATACAATATAGTAACGAAAGGAAATTTTTTGTGGTACTGTTGTTTTATTGATTTCGATAACCATCAACTATTCCGAATTTTATTATATGGTAGATTAAAAAATTTCGTTTAAAATATTTTATTTGAATAAAATTTGTCAAAAATTATAATAAATTGATCCAATGGATAATTTAAGTTAATAAATTTTCATAATAAAGTAATACTAAGCTAATTTTTTATGATTTCTATACCAACAAACAGAGATCAAGAATGATGATATGATATCAATTTTCATATATAAAGCAAATTAAGAACAAGTGCGAAGATTTTGATAACCAATAATTTGTGATCAAAGGCAACCAGTGTATTTTTTTATAATAATAAAAAATTTGATTTTAATATGATATTCTATTGTCTGATTCTCTCTTTTTATGTTTTCCCATCACCTCTTCCACGCCCTCGTGATGGTAAACCATTACCAAAATGTCCTCCACGACCTCTAAATAAAGAACCGTTCCCATTTGAACCTCTTGAATTACCATTAAAGCCACGATAAACAACGGCTCCTCCTATATATTTTGTAGAAGATTGTGAACCAGCTGAACGTGATCGATTTTGATGCGTTGATATGTAACCATTCGATCCACGAGGACGATGATATGAACCATTCGTAGGGTGATTATTCGAAGAATGCACAACGCCTCTACCACTTCCACGATTCGAGTAGGAATTATAATGAGGGTATGAATTATGAAACATATTATGTCCATTTTGAACTGTCGATTGATAATAAGAACTTGATCCATGTCTTGATCCACCACCATTTCCATTATTTGGATGACGATCAAGGAATTGTGGCCTTGACAAGTTAAGTAAAGAGTTAGAAGGAACGGTCATTCCTCGATAATTTGAACATCTATGGAAAATTAAATCATATTACAATTTGTTTCGATTCAAGTAATAATAAAGAATAAATAACTAACCTATCGCTTAACGTGGACCCACTCATAAACGTGGTATCAAAGACCACATCGATATTGGTTTTTTCAATTCCAACGATTGTACCTTTTGATGCGATGGGTACACTTCCGGTGTCTTTAACAAAAACGACTCGATCACCGAGGTTGAAATTTTGGTTTTGCAATATCGTTGATGCATGAGATGGTTTTAATAATTGCTTTATTTGATTTTTTTTTTTAAAAAAAAAAAAAAGAGGAGGGGGAAAAGTTGTTAATTAAGTTTATTAGATCATGGAATAGATAATAAAAATAAAAATAATTTATTTACATGTCGCAATAATTTTTTAACTTCAATTTTAGTGAGTTTACGTTGTTCAAGAAACTCATCAGCTGCTTTTTCTATATCTTTTATCGCTTCCTATATTAATAAATCATTTTAGACTCGTACAATACAACCACTAGAAAAAAAAATTAAGATATAGCACGGAGAGTAACTTTCTTTACCTTATCTAATTGCTCTGCATCCAATGATACCTTTTCAAAATCCCTTACTTCAACGGTTCTAAGCCAATCCTTGATAGCATGGATTTTGGACACGGCTTCTTCTTTGGGATAAAAGTCTTCTGCAGTATATATTTCTATGCAAATACATGTTAGAATCAAAAGAATACTTTACGCAAGTTATTGGAATAATATGTATAATTACCATCTTTATGCTTATGTTCTAAAGCTTGAATAAATTCTGGGAATTTATCCTATAAGATTTAGGAAATAGTAATCAATGATTAATTAATTTAGTGATTCAAACAAGCATAAAAATTTAGCAAACAAAAAATGTTCATTGTTGATGACGAACCTTATATTCTGCCAAAATGCGCATTGCTCTTTCGCTATACTCCCAAGAATCTTTGGTCTTCCTGGTATATCCCAATACCTTTTGTTTCTTTGCCTCAAATTTTAAATTAAGGCCAAGATTGATACGCTGATCGGTTGATTTACAACTAACATGCAAACTGGCAGTCAATTTGCTTAAAGTTAAACCAGTCATACCCAATTTTTTAGCAACGGCATATGAAGGAAGGTATTTGGTCCGACTAGAAAATTTTCTTGCAATTTCTGGACCGAAATCTGGTTCTTTTTGATAATTTTTATCAACAATCTAAAGAAAACTTTAAAATTAAAGAAAAAACCACGAATATTTAAAGATATTAAAGATATTTAAAGAACTCACAAGTACTTACCATCTTTACGGACAGGAACTTATCAGTATGTTGAATTATGATTCCAGGACTTCCATAATAAGGACTACCCAAATAAAATAGTCGAGTTTCAATTGGAAACTCCTCGGCTAATGAAATAGCAGGTTTTTCTTTATATCTAGGATCCTCACATTCAACACCATCCACTGTCGTTTGCATTGCATAATCGATCTCCTCCCCAGCGTTAGCATATTCTTTAACTAAAGCGCCACTTTGCAATCTTTTCATACCTTTTAATTTTGGAATATACATTAGTATATATAATCATAATTATCAAATAATTAATTATTATATACCTTTAAGCACCGAAACATGAGCAATAACATCCACTGTTCCAGTTACTGTCCCATATCTTTTACTATACACTTGTTCGCATTTATCGGCCTTCCGTCGCCAATCTTCTTGTTTATGGGGATATTTGTCAACATAAGATTGCCCATTGGGTGGTGTGTACCACACGTATTTAAAGGTTTCATCAGATATAGCTTGTAATGTTCCCTCTTGAAGAAAAGGCCAACCTAATGACAATAAACAAGAATGATTAAAATTAAATGAAAGATTTGTATTAAATTCATAGTATAACATACCAACAAATATCCTCTTGCCAAGTTTTTCACGAGCCAAATCATCAGTTGACATATCTGCAAATTGATTAATTAATGTAATAACCATAGTTTCGTTTCTATATAACGTTTGAATGACGTGATTGTTATTTGCTGATATGAAATAGATTCAAAAAAGAGAGTATTTAAAAAATTTAAAACATGCTTGCTCTCTGAATTAAAAACATTAACTCCATGTTGTGCAAGTTTCGCATCATATCGAAGTGTTTGCAATGATGGGAAACCAGCCATTGCTTCAACCCCCAATCGAGCTCCGTTACAAAGCCCTTTTAAAAGCTTCAGACCATCCAAAGTTGGGAGATGATAAGGTTCAGTACGACAATTACAATGTTCAATGTCTGAATATAGCAAGTTACAATTGTTGTTATGATTGTAATAATACGTATGATAACATGAAATATATGCAAAATTTATTTAACGAAGATATATACTTTGAAAAAAACCTGGTAATGAAGAAGGGTAATTTTCGTCCAGACTTGGATCATATGTAAACAAAAGGCTGTCACCAAAACTATTCCTTTGCTTTTCTTCTTCGGACAATTCGTCTTCCTTGTCTAATACCCCCCAAAAAAAATTTTATCGCTTTAAATATATAAGTTAAATAGGAAATTTTTTTGTATTTCATAACCTCACCGTTCAAAGCAGCGACTAATCTTTTTTGATCAATGAATGGTATATTAACTACCGCTTCCCAATCCTGCTTTTTACCATTCATATCAAGTTCGAATTCTTGGGGATAAAAATCTATTATTGGAGAGTTAGGATTAGTCAACAAATCCTGTCGATATTATAAATAAAAAAATATAAATAATATAAAAAGAGGATAAAGGCAACAATAAGTACGCTGTTTGGTTCTTAAGTAGTATAAATAAGAAATCAATTAAACATCATAATACCTGATATGGAATGGGTATAAGATTTTTACTTCCTTCGGGCAATACACCCATTAATTGTTCAAACGGCTTGAATGGCCTTCCAATTTCAAAATTAATATTGAATCTCTCCAAATCATGTAAATCTGAAATCTTTGGCGAGTAGTGGTATGGATAGAACCATCCCCAAGATGCCACACCCCTGTAGTAATAATGCAAAACCCATTGTAATCCTTCGATATATGAACCGACAATTCTATCCAACTGTTCTGGATCGTCATAATCAATCTTTGGTTTATTTCCATAATAATCTCTCTTCCACTTAATAAATTTATCTTCTTCATTCTGTCTTTCTCTTTCTTCAGATGCTTCGACATCACCATCATCAACAATATTTGCCTCTTCATATTTCTTAAAAGTCTTATGTCTCATTTCATTGTCTGACCCATCTTCTGAACCATATTCAACGTATAAATGTTTTTCTTCCGCAACTTCATCGTATCCAGATAAACATTTGATACCAAAGTCTTTAGCAAGATTCTGTATAAAATTACGATCTCTTGCGGGATAATCAACAGGAAAGTGAATTGATTCCGAAGAACGTGATACTACTAATTTTTTGACCTGATCATAGATTTCTCTTTGTTTTGGCGTTAGTACTAATTAAATTGAAAAAATTTTCTCAATGATTTAAGTTTAGGCACGCATAAATTGACGTACAGATGATACATACTTAATTTCTTTTTTTTATCTTTCTCCAACATATCCGGAAATTTCCTCTTTCCTTTAAACCATTTTAAATCTTCCATATTACCTTCATAAATATTTCTTTCAAAATTAGATAATACTTTAAATATCATCTCAAGTCTGCTCAATTCTAATTTCCCTCCATCATTAATATAACCACCTTTGAATAATATTAACTAGATTAAAATTTAGGAAGAAGATGCAAACCTAAATATTTTTTATGGTAACTTACCGGCATCCGGTAAAACTGATTTATACACGTGAAACATCAAACCAAGTGCCCCTTCAGCTATATGAAGATTGGGCAAATGTGGTAAAAAATCGTTGCCGACAAATAATGCTAACAAGACAAAATCGTCTATTATTCTTTCGAGATCATATTCAAAAGGAAGATTATCCCTAAGTACTCCGAACTCAAGATCCAAATATTCACGCATTAATGATAAATGCATGAGGTAGAAATTTTGAGATTCAACCCGTCTGATATTTTGAAATGATTAAGAAATTAAAGTTTAGGAAAACATTGCAACGTAAGAGTCATTTAATATATTTTTTCAACGTACCCTGTTTTTTTCTTTCTGCTACTTGGTCCATAAGTGACCTCTTCTCTGAGTAAAGCAAAATGTGGATCATGACTTAAAAGTCCAAGCATAATTAAATCAGCATCCAATCCATAAAGGCAATGTCTAACATTGGGATTGTAATTCTCTTGGGCTTTCGTGTTACGAATATATTCCATAATTTTATGTTCTCCCTCACCCGGTACTTCGTGACCAGAAAGTACTATTTCAATGTTTCTCCAATTCGAGTCTTCTGTTACTTTCTTATTTACAAAATATTTGAGCTGGCGTGAAAGTTTTTCCATAAATAATGTGCCTAAATGATCAAACGTATCAATAAAAAACTTTCTTTATTTGAGAATCCAATCAAATTTAATTCAAAAGAAAGGTTTAACATAAAATGAATCTAACCTGGTGTAATACAATTGCTATCAAAAGGCGCCTCTTTAGGCAACGATTCACCCTTAGATTCGGCTTTTTTGACAGCTTCTGCGGATTCTTTAGCGGTTCTGAAACGTCTAGCACGTTGTTGATTCATTTTGGCCCTTGGAGCAACGCCTGTACGAATTTCCAATTCGATTCACAATTTAATTACAATAATTGTAAACGCATGACAAACAGTTCAATAAATACCATCGATGGCCATAAAAAATAGTTTTTTCGGTTTTATTTTGGTAAATAAATGATCGATATAGTTAAATATATCAAGGAAAATTTTGTCTTCGGAAACACGAAAATGTGCATCCGTATCATTTGGATGGGAACAGTGATGAATAATGCCATTCATGTCAAGGTATAAATTATCTACAACGTGGAAAAAGGGTGTCAACAATTTATGTAATGATTGAATAATATGAAATGTAAAATAAATTATAAAAAAAAAAAAAAAAACAAAAAAAAAATAAAGGTACCAAATTCCGGAATCCTAAAAAACGGAGTTTTACGAAAGAATGCAAAAAATGATAAACAATTATGGAACAAAAAAAGTTATTTGAAATGACAATTCTAGTTAGCATTCAAATTCTTACCTGTTCTCCGTAATTAGTTGACTACACAACGGATATCTTTCACTAAAGACCGGAATAATTGCAGAGTATTTTAAAAGATGCGACAGAGCAATTCGAATGAAAACATTAAATTTTATTTAAGGAAAAGTACAAAGCTGTAAATGGTTACCTCATCCATCGAAAGAACTTTGGAATCCCCATTATTATTTGTACTTTTGTAATAAATTCTCGGTAAAATACTAATATTAAACTCGTTTTTATAGCTTCTCAAAAACTCTTAAACCTTTCTATACTCCAAATCGCTATTCTGAACACGAGTTCAAGACAACGTCTCTCTCTTGCTCTTCACAGGTTTGAAAACTACTTGGGAAAATTAGCATACTCTAAATTCAAATATAACGTGTTTTTGCCGTTAGTTTTTATTTCATAATGTCTGCATCTGAATTTTCATAAATTATTAAATTGTGCAAAGCATAGTACCACTGAACCATCACTTGATTTCGGCTTATTCATCATATGACATAAATAATTTACCTAATAAATCCAATAAATCATATACTAAATATATTTTTTTTATTTTCAAATTTTAAATAGGAAAAATTAAAAATATATGAAAATGAAAATAATGGGTCTAACTCGAATAATTTTAAGATTTCAATTATTCCCTTAAGCTAAATTCTCGTCTTTCTTTCTTTTTGTAAACCCAAAAACCCGAAACGGATCTCTTCAAAGAATAACCCAAAAATATACAGAACTTTAATAAAGAGTTAACTAATAAAAAGAATGAAAATTATGATGAATTAGAATTACATTCACCCACAAGCTGCGGGAACTTACAACATTGCAGATCACGTACCTGAATATCACGAAATCATTGTCGGGCAAATTATCAAAATACGTCAACGAAAATATAAAGAACAAACATTATTACATTATGGGAGAATCGTCCAAATTAGGTCTTCATACCGAATCATACTTTTCTTTTGATGTCTTCGTGTTACTTTAAGAATGAATGGTTCGGTAGCTGATTTAATGCATATCAAATATAAAATAATAAGAAATCTGTTAATAACAATGATGACCGTCCAAAAAAATTATGGTCAATCATTCAATTCTGACATTACAACAATACTTTACACAACACATACATCATATGATGAATATAACTTATCACAAATTTTTAATACGGGACGCTAATCAGGTTAAGGCTTATGATAAACACCGGAAAAAACCTGACCATAGGAATCTTGGCACATGTAAAAATATGGGCTTTGAAATAATGACGCGGGATATAATAGAAGCTTTCATATGCAAAATGAACAGTCCACCACGTTCCGCAGCAGCATCTGTTTAAATGTGTGACAGGTCACAAAACAGGTGAGGCGAAAAGAGGAACATAAGAATATTTGTTCGCTACATCACTTTCCGTTATAGATAATGATTGTATCGTACTATTCACCTATTCGTCAAGTACATTGCAGCGCAGAAGGAAGGGAATACAAATGTTGGTGTGAATGAAATTCAATTCGTCATAAAAGTGGGTTACTTTATTAGCTTGCAGCTTATCAAACAAGGTAAATTTAAATCGTTTGCCCAGAATTATGACGGCTATTATCGGTGAAAACAAGGTGAAAAATGAAATAAACTTTATGTCGATTGTGTTACCTTTGTTTACACCTTATCGTTACACCTATATATTAAACTTATATATCGAATTTTCACCCCCCCTCAAATCCAATACGACGACAAAGTAATCCTTTTTTTTCTTTCCCTCACTAGACAAGTCTTTACCTTTTCCTTTATATTCGCAAGGCATAAAAATAATCGTCAAGATTCATCATACTAACCTCCCCTCAAAAACTTGTATCTCTCCTTGAACGTGTTCAAAATATTGCTTAATTGTTTACCCCCCTATTTATTTAGGTGCTAAAAAAAAAACTAACTTACCCCCTTGTTAGCTCCAAATCTTTAACTTTGATAAAACCGCAATTCGTTATAAATAATAGTGCTCATACGTGTATATATTACAAGTACCTTTGGTGAAAGTCCAACGGTACGATATAGCTAACCACCGAACAAAAGTTTTAAAAGAAGAGAAACTGATGATGAAACGTGATCGTGGTTCAAACTCTGCCAACGTTCGTAAGCCACGAGTTAAGACAAGTGCTAGTAGCGCTAGGCTCGATATTCCAAAACAGGCACCTCCACTTGTGCGCAGTAACACTTTGCCTGTCAATCACACAACTTATCCTCGCGTTCCTCGTGCTAATTCTCTAGGATTACAAGATAACGAGAAATCTAGATCTGACGACGGTTTTCACTCCGATTCCGATAAAGACAGTAGTCAATCTGCAAATTCGAACTTAAGCGTACGTAGCGTTAAAAGTTATCTTACCAAAACCTCTTCAATCAAGTCGGATGTCGTCGCAAAAGTACGTCCAAAATCTTCTCTCGGAACCTTGTCGGATAACTCATCGTCGGATAAATCAAAGGTCGACCATGTTGATGACACTTTTCGAGCTGATAGGCAAGCAGGAGAAGCAAGGAAGAACAGAAAGGTGAATAGATTATGATAAGTGATGCGATGCTTGCCTTTTTTTTTTTTTTTTTTTTGCGCACATAATTTATTGAATTTGACCTACTGATTAGTCCAAAATATGGTAAATTAATAATTTAATCAGCAGGTCAAGTAAATTGTTCCTCTTGCGAATGGTTACGCTAATAAATTTATTTTTTTTTTTTCATTGTAATTCATCGCGTTTAGATTGAAGATTTGGAAATATCAATAAAGTCATTGATGAAATTCAATGTAGAATTGGAAGCTTCTAATAAAAAGCAAGCTGCAGAAATTCAAGCATTGAAAAGAAAACTTCATATGTATGTTGGTTATGTATTTATTATGAGAGAATCTTTTAGAATTTATTTGTAAATATCTTTTAATAAAACTTTCAGTAATAACTCATTCATGTCGATATATGGATCCGATGATGATGATGATGTTGATGATGCTGATGATGAAGTATTGACTTCTTTATCAGAGGTATGTTTGTTATTACGAGTTAACTGATTTCTTTCAAAGAAAAACATCAGAATTTATTCATAATATAAAAATTATCTTTTGATAAGAACGATTTGGCAGAAATCGATAAAGATAATGACGTTCGATTCCGTCGAATATGTATGGTGATTGATGAATTAATCCAAGATGCAAATGATGCTCTTAATTATACTACGAAGATTGGAGGCAGCAGAGTTTTGTCAAGTGCTCAATTAGGTTTGTTATAATTAAATTTTTTAAATCGTTTTTACATTTACATTTCATTATTCTAATCAAGAGTATCTCTCTTATTTCTCACTAGACTCCGATAATAAACAATCCAGTAAAATATCAGATAATGTTTTATTAAACTCCTCTAAAAACTTAAAAATCCACACATATCATTCAGCAGAGAAAAGTAATGATGGTACCATAACAGCTAATGAAATAAGATCAAGTTTGAGTGAAATTAATAAACAAACATCAGTAAATAATCCAAAGATAAAACCTACAACCGAAAAAGACAATAAACATTCAACAACGGTTCAATCATCCAATTTTCCTTTGGCTGAACCTGTTGAAGAAAACAATAAAAAATTGCAGGCAAACCTAGAACGTGCTCGCACAGTAGTTACCGAACTTTTATCCCTAGAAAAAAAAGACAATAATAATGTAAATAATAACACGCCTTACACTCCAAATAATTCGGAACGTAAAGGTCTTGGTTTGCTTCTACCATCTCAAAATGATCATTCAAAGCATGTGACTCATTCAAAACATGTGACTCATGGTTCGATTAGCGGTAGCGATTCACCACAACCTTCCCCGAGGATGATCCTTTTATACGAACTTCAGGAATCGTTGGGTATTGGCAATGCGGAATCTTCAAAATATTTGAAGGAGAACCGAAGGAGTCTACCAGTAATGTCATCCAGCAAGATTAATATCATTTCACCACCTGAAGAAGAAAGTCAAGAAGGAAATGATTCAAGACCGAGACGAAGTCAAGCTCAATCTGAAATAAGTTTACGTCGTCGATCATCACCGAATTTTAGAACTTCTTCGCTTTCTCTACCAAAGTCGAACATGTCAACGGATCATTCCAGCGCATCGCTTGTAATGAATGATGATTCTGTTCTGAATTCTCATCCACATGGACCTGATGTTGAGAAACGTTCACTTTTGGTATCTTCATGGGTATATATAACAACACCATTTCGAACAGAATAATTAATTTTTGATAACTGTTTTGGTAAATAAATAATATTATTGATAACAAAAAACTTTTGGGTTTGAGCAGGTCTTACATCATTTGATAAGACCATATGATCAGGAAATGATATTCATACATATTTTGTCATTTTCCCGACCTTTTGAACTCTCCTTTTATATTATGAATGTTTCATCTTACGTAAATATATACATTTTTTTTTGTTGTGATTATAATCATAACAGAATTACCAATGTGACCTATAGAACAAAAACTAACGATTAATGTAAGGAAAAAAAAAGTTGAAGATAGGAGGGAGGGGGAAAAAAGAAAGGATTTTTATGGTGTATTTATATATATTTTTTTTGATTTTTTTTGATTTTTTTTTGATTTTTTTTTTTTTTTTTTTTTTTTTTTTTTTTTTTTTTTTTTTTTTTTTTTTTTTTTTTTTTTTTTTTTTTTTTTT